CTCGCGCTCAGCCACCGACCTTCGTTACTCGCGTGGTGAGTGCTGCGCCGCCCGTGCTTTCAGTAACGCAGCGTTGTCACGTTCATAGGTACGCGCCGAGCGTGCGGCGAGCGGGAAACAGCAACAGCGGAATTGAAAATTTTACATCCTTCGTTACTCGCGCTGGGCGGCACGGCGCCGCTTTTGCGTATGAGCCTCAACAATTTATTATTTTTCGTAGCCTTGATGGATTTTCAGCGGAGAAGAACCTTGCTAATCCATTCTAAATGATTCAAGCTAGGCATTCTAATTTTTTCAATTTTTTGAAAGCTCAATTTTGCAAGAGGCAAGCGAAAATTTGAAAAAGGCGGCGCGGCGCTTATAGCGCGAGTTCTGAAGGGTTAAGAGGACCAAATGGCTGGGGAATACCTGAGAGCGGGAGGCTCCTTGCATCGATATCGCCATCTGACTTTTATGTGGCGTACGTGTCCGTTGTGCACTAGATGAAAAAGAATTCTGAAACCATGCTGGAGCGACTGCTCTGCTCCTTTTTCTGATTCAATTGAGTTTTCCTCATATGTCGTGGCGCGTAACTGGGCACATACCTTCAATACCTGCAGCATTGCCATCAAGGAGTTCACGAAATTGAAGGAAGAAGGAAATCGCGGGGCGGGGGGATTGCATGGGAGGTAGAATTGTTGAAGATGGAAGGTATTTCTTCGTTGATTAGGGAGGAATGAGCAAGAAGTCGGTTGGTTTATTCAATTTATTTGCTCATTTGACATTGTTATCAATAATTTTTTTTATCGATATTTAATGGTTGGTCATGACAATTTTTTGTATATGTTAATTTAAAACAAGTGGCCCATCGCACAGGTGTAAATCGAGTATAGTTTTTTTGCTAATGAATTGGCAATTTGCTTCCGAAGGGATTAATCGAATTAAATTAAGAAATCTGAATTAATTTAATTAAATTAAATAAATGAATTCAGATTAGTAGAGAAGTTCAACCTTGACTTGACCTTGACTTAACTGTGACTTGACCTTGTCAATGTCGGGCCAAGGTTGGACCAATGTCGGTCCAGGATTGAGCCAATGTCGGGCCATGGTTGGGTCAGGGTTGGGCCAATGTCGGGCCAATAGCAGGTCATGGTCGGCCCAATGTCGGGTCTTAGTTTGGTCAATGTCGGGTCAGAGTTGGGCCAATGTCGGTCCAAGATAAGCCCCCTAATAAGGCTATAATTCTAAATGAAATAATGCGAAATAACATCCAAACGAATATTTTAAGCCATAATTGAAAAAATTTCGATGATTATTTTTTGAATGATCGTCGAAAAACTAAATTGGAAAAAAAAACTCATATATACGGACATGATCTAAAAACAGCATCTTCAAACTCTTGAGATCAAAATTAGTCATTCTGACACAAAAAATGGAAATTTTAGATTTGACGAATACAATACTTCCATTTGGAAGCAAAAATGAAAATTTGGAGACTAGTTCTATTTTACGCCTTTTGTTACTAATTAATTATTAATTTTGACTTTGTGGAGTGAATGCTCTGTTCGATATCCGAGTCAATTGAGTTTTCTTCGCGTGAGGTGGCACGTATCAGGGAATACCTGCAGTATTGCCATCAAGAAGCTCATGAAATCGTGAGCTGGAAGAATTGCACGAGAAGAATTATTGGAGATAGGAGATATTTCTTTGTTGACCAGGAAGAAAAGAACAAGAAGTTGGCTAGTTCATTGGATTTATTTGCTCACTTGAGATTGATATAAATGATTCTTCCCCCAATCACTATTTCTGCTAGAAAAATGTAAAATTGTTCAATGACTTTCATTTTTTACATCACTTATGAATGAATTTCTCATTTTGACCTTGTGGAAATAATGAAAAAATCAAACTGTGAAGCTAAATTTTTTCATAAAAAAACATGATTTCTGAAGAAAATGTTTCGTGAATCAGCACAAGTGAGAGAAAAAGTTGTCATCTCGTTATCCACTTCTGGTTTGTCATCCCAGAATACAAAACTCATTCCCCAATATGTCATTCTCCTATTCCAGATCAACAACTAAGATTGATGTGCACTCCCCCTTCAATAAATCTCCAATTTCGTGAGCACAACTTGTTTTCCTCCGCAAATTGCGTAATTTTTCAATTGACTGGAAAAATGGTTATTTGAGGCGAAAATATCGTTCCAATTAAATCATGAAAAGTTGAGAATGTTTCCATTACTCATTATCGTTGATTGAAAACAACACAGTTGTTCTGGCGCGAGAACAAACCAGTTGACAGGGTTGCAAGGGTCATGCCTTACAAGGGTCAAACATCGCAATGGTCATACCTCGCGAGGATCAAACATCGCAAGGGTTATACCTCGCGAGGGTCAAACGTTGTAACGGTTAAACAACAGAGGTAGGCAGAGGACAGTCTCAAAGGTCAAACGACCACAAGCGGCAACCGGGGAGGCAGGAAAGATAATCACAACGGTCCAACGATTATGAGGGTCAAACAAAAGGAGCAGGAAGGAAAATCCTCAAGGGTCTAACGGGAGACATGACCCTCGCGAGGTGTAACCCTTGCGACCTCTGAACCTTGCAACGTTGGCCCCTTGTGAGGTATGACCGTTGCGACGTTTGACCCTTGCGAGGCATGATCTTTGCGAGATATGACCGTCATGACGTTTCACGCTCGCTAGGCGGGACCCTCGTGACGTTTGGCCCTTGCAAGGTACCTATCTCGTGACGTTTGACCCTTGCAAGGTACAACCCTCGGGTTAAGGGGGTTTCTACCAGTTATTTAACTTTTTTATCATTCTCCGATTTTCAGTGAATGAGCCTTGTGGTAGAAATACACGATGATTCGCGATAATTGAATCGACACATTCTCGCCATAAATAGAAAGCCTGAGTTATTTATTTATTTCTCGACCAAATTACAAGCGTCATTTCCTAATCTGTCAAACACTTTCACAACAACAGCCTAAAATTAATGTACCTCCCAGCCCCTCGGGACAAATCCCCACGCAGTATTGATCGCCTATTGCCCTCTTCAAGAGTGACACCACGAAAAAAAATGTTGAAATCTTCTTCTTCGTTATTTCCACGAGGATAACCCAGTGATGAAGCAAGTGAAAGCGGCCAGTGCGATGCAGACACTAGACGGAGGCCCAGTCAAAAGCCGAAGGGGTGCCCGAAGAAGAGAAGGAAGGAAGCACCAGTCAATTCTCAAGCCCTAACAACTTCCCCTCTCGGTGAGTTACCATTCCCCCGGCTGATTGTGAGCTATGCACTACTACCCCTCTGTCTTATAATCACCCCGTGCCAACACTCCCGGCCCGGCAAACTCACCCAGCCGATGCCCGAGAAAACCCGGAATTAATGTTTCGACGGGGTTCATTGACTGACCCAAATTCACGTCGGTGGATTATTTAAATCCCTTTTTTTCGTGAATAATGGAAATTAATGAGGGTGACGAGGGAAAAGCGAGAGTCATTTGGAGTATGAAATTATTATGTTATTTACGGAGAAAATAGTGTCTTTAGATGCGAGTGCGCAATAATAGATTGTGCGCCAAGGGAGGAAAACAGGGCATTGCGAGCCGCGTGGGGATTGTCGATGCTGTTGAATCCTCGAACCTCCACGGCCAAATGTCGGCAGAACGTCAAGTGGCCATTCGTCGAGTGCCAAGTCTCGACCAATAATTGGGTGAACTTCGGACGCCGAGACTTGATCAGTGTCAAACAGGAAAGAAGTCAAAGGGTCACGAGGGTCGAGCCTCCGCTAGGTTCACGAGGATCGTAAAGGTCAAAGAGGGGTGTAGGAAAACTACCTTTCAGGGGATTCAGGTGAAAAGTCAAAATCAGTAGCGAAGAGATAAAGCGGTTTAAGTCGACTTATCTCCCAGCTGAGTTTTTGAGGAATATTTCCGAATCTAAGGGAGATAGCGAAATTTTCGTAATTACATTTGTTGTAGCTCTCAATCGGCTCTACGAAAAAGGTTATAACAAAAATTTTGCGATCTCCCTTACATTCCGAGATATTCACTGGAAACTGGTCAATAGTCAAAATTGACTTATACCGTTTTACCACTTGGCTACTGAATTCAATCAAAGGGTCACGAGGGTCGAGCCCCCGCTAGGATCACGAGGATCGCAAAGGTCAAAGAGGGGTGTAGGAAAACTACCTTTCAGGGGATTCATGTGAAAAGTCAAAATTAGTAGCGAAGTGGTAAAACGGTTTAAGTCGACTGATCTTCCAATTGAGTTTTTGAGGAATATTTCCGAATCTAAGGGAGATAGCGAAATTTTTGTAATTACATTTGTTGTAGCTCTCAATCGGCTCTACGAAAAAGGTTATAACAAAAATTTTGCTATCTCCCTTAGATTCCGAGATATTCATTAAACAATGATCAATAGTCAAAATTAACTTGTACCGTTTAAACAATTCGCTACTGAAATGATGAAAAAGATTGAACAATTTAGGAAAGAAGTATATGAGTGTGCTGCATCGCTGGGAATTTTTCCAAAATTTTCCCAGATCTTGCGTTCGAGACAAGAAAATTTTTTTTTAATTTAAAAAAATGAAAAAAAAAAAAAACATAAATTTTCAATGTTTTTGTATCCTTTCCACCTGTAAGGCCGCGATTATCGCACTGTAAAATTAAAGAGACAATCGAAAATTAAAAATTACTGTGTAAAAATTTTGACTTATTTTAACTGAACGTTTGCAGAAGGGGGTTGAAAACAATTAATATCTCGTCGTGTATCTGGGCAGAAAGTCCGCCTCTCACTGTCTCTGTACCTATACACGAACGAAAAAAAGCCCCTCAGTGAAAGAAGAAATTGTATGTATACGTGAAGCTGGCGGAGGACACAGTGCCTGGCATAGCACGAGGGGGAAAATCGAGAGGGGCCGGAGGGGATAAAAACCCAAGCGGAATCCCGTGTTTTCCGTGAGGGCGCAAGCGCCGGCCAGTTGGGGGTTTATTACGGTCGCCTCAGTCTCGGCTCGCCTGGGCTCTAGTCAGCATCATCACGGTGAGGTGCACAAGTCCTTCGGGTGCAAGTGTACCGAGTGGTGCAAGTGTCAGAGAATTCGGAGGTAATCGAAAACTGGGGTGAGAAAACCAGAGAAATTTGGGAAGAGCGGAATCAATGGCCTCCGCCTGGTGGAGGGGCTGATTGTCCTCTGGATGTTGGTGAATCCTCTGAATGTCCGTCATCATCGTCATGGATTAGCGTCACACGGTCGTCATCATCGCGGTAAAATATCTCATTTTGGATGACATGTGGCGTTGACATTGTGGCGACGTTTAGTTTCGCTTATTTTTTTCTGCTCTATTTTTCTTTCCGGCGGTCTGGCCCCATTTGGCTTTATCAGCACTATCCGGAATGAAGACGTACGATTGTTATCTCAACCACTATATCACCTTGTGTTGCGTACTGGTCTACCTTTAGATACCCTTCGTAAATCGATTCCCCACCTCTCTCTCTCCTTTCTACTGACTGTGTGCGCTTCCAACGCTGCAACCTCCAACGATAATATCCCCTTTGGTACTTCACCAATGAACCGAACTGGGGGATGAAACTACGCCATAAACCGTGCACTGACGGATGAGCGTGAAGGTGAGGTGGATGACGTTCTTCGTCGGCTTTTTTTAGGTCTTAGGGCTATTGCATTTTTTTATTTGCGCACTGATAATTTTTTGACTATTCTTCACTGATATTTCCCGGATATTTCGTGGGAATAATTATTGGATTGTACACTGTTCATGGCAAAAATATACTTGAATTGAGTATAAAATGTACTTAAAGTAGCTCTACCCTTACGGTAAATTCAAAGATTATTGAATTCTAATTTTTTTCTCAATTTAATTATCGTTTTGGTTTTTCAAAGAAGAAATGTTCAAAAATCAGGATTTAACTCGGTGTCTTATGCGAAAATCAACATTCCCATTGTAATCAAAGATTAAAATCTGATTTTTTTTTCATTAGATGTGAAAAAATCGAGTTTTTTTGACACCTCATAAAAAATAATCCATTGTTTTGCAAACACGCTTTATTATTTATTTATGAGAGCGAAATGCTTGAAAAAATATCAATATTTTGCGAAATTTAATTTGGATAATACTGACTGACAATTTAGTTGAAAAATTTAAAAACTGAAAATATCCAAAAGTACAGCGTAGCCCGGCCGAAGGGTAGAGCTACTTTAATTCAAGTATATTGTTCTTGATTCAAGTATATTTTATACTCAATTGGGGGATGGCTATTTCAATTCGAAGATGATTGTTGTAACAGAAGAGATTTTCGACTGAAATTTGCGGTATATTTCTCAAAAAACTCTGTCGTATTATAGTTCTACTAAAATTTTATAGATTTTCGGAATGGGATTTTAAGTATTCTCGTAATTGAAGATTCGATTTTTTTTTAAATCAATGGAAGATTGAATGCTAGTTTAATCATTTCATGTAAATTAATGGAAATCAGAGAAATTCAGGTGAATGTATTCTTGAGGTTTCAATTAATCGAAAATTCTGGGTTATTTGGCGTTGAAGATTGGTTTGATTCACCATCCAAATAAGTTGGGGAATTCTCGTTTTCTGGCTCGTGAGATTTCCCGGACATTACTTGAAAAATCACTTGCTTGAAATTTACGGAAGTTTGTTATCGACAATTCAGAATTTTATGGAAAAATCAATGGAAACTGCAAATTTCAGTGAAATTATTCCAGAATTGGTGGAAATCAGGAAAATTAAGGTAAATATATTCTTGAATGGCTAATTAATTGAAAATTCTGCCTGATTTGGTACACTGTTGAAAAACTGTGTCTGAAATTTCCGGTACACTTTTTGGAAATTTTTATCGGGTTTAAATACTACGTAAATTTTAAATTTTGTCATTGAAAATTCAGAATTTCGTGAAAAAATCAAAGAGAACTGTAAATTTGAGTGCCATCTTTCCCTGAAAACAAATAGAAAACTAGAAAATTTCGGTAAATATATTCTGGAATTTTCAGGACAGTGACACTGGATGCGATTTAAGGGGAAAAAATCATGAAATTTCAGATTTCACTGAAAATTTAATGTAATTGGGCACTGAATATTCATATTAGATTAGAAATTCAAATAAATACTCAAAAAAACCCAACACGGAGAGATGAATCAACCCCCAACACGCCAAAAAAATGTGTTGTGTTGTTGCTAATAAATTGACCCTCCGTGTCGTGATGTTCCAACACGGAGAGAAATTTTTTAGAAAAAATCTAGCTTTAGCACGGGAAAAGAGGCGCAAAGTGACGGCCAGGAAAGAATTCCAGTGTCGGCACTAAAAATTGCATTGGGGAAAACTGAATTTTTCCCCATATTGCTGTGAAAATTTCACAGAAATCCCCAGAAATTTTACCAGAAATACCAAGAAATATTACCTCAACAGCACTAGAATTTCTTCACAGCCGGTGGACTGTGATTTTTTCCAGTACTCGCACTAGAATTTTTCTAGAGAATTTCTCTCCGTGAACAGTATAGTTAAATGTGTCGCGATTTTCTACACGGAGAGAAATATTCAATAAAAATTACGAGAAAAAAGACGTAAAAATTACGTTTCGAAACGTAATCTGGGAGCGAAGTAAAATTCAATAAAAAGTGTCAATCGTCACGTAAATTCTACGATCTGTTCCGTAAAAATTACTCATCCATCCGACGCCTCACGGCTAGCCATGACTCACCGTGAGGGGGAGATTTTAACAACACGTTCCGTAATTTTTCCGGAACTTTTCGTAAAAATTCTTAAACATCCAAGAATTTTCATGTTCTGAGGCATAATAAGTCTTGAAGTTTCTGTTAGATTTTACAACTTCCAGAAAAATTACGTGACTTTTTCGTATTTTTTCGGTGACAGACCCAAAAATTTACTGAACGTTTCAGATTTATTCTCTTATATTCCTATAGAAATTCACTGAAAACGATTCTCGCTTGCGGATTACGTGAAATGTTCCGTAATTTTTCTTGAATATTACTCTCCGTGTAGGTAATTTTCATCCCGTTTTCCTCTCCGCACCGAGTGACTACACTCTGTTCATAAAATCCTGCACACCCTCATCAAATCGCTCCAAAAACCGACGAGGGAATCACTTTCTGCTCAGTCTATCTGACGTATTCTTAAGGATATTCGAGATTTTTTCGCTGAGGGGATAGAATAACGATTTATCCTCCCGTGTCAATCCTCCCTGCGAGGAGTTTCACCCCTATGTCTGGCTGATCTATCCTCTTTCTGTATAAATCACCCCTAGAGCCCACTTATTTCATCCCTTGTGCGGGAAAGGGTAGAATACCCCTCGAAAGGGATGCAATACCGTGAGCAGGGGTGGATTATTCATTTTTCGTGTAAGGAAAACCAAAAGTTCCGGCTCTGGTTCCGCTGTTCGTCTGCCGCTGACGCCGGAGATGTGTACGGTTTATGGTAATGCAGGATGATGGACTAGTGATTAAATGGGTGGATAAATCATTGAGGCAACAGATGTCACGGTTGTACTTGCGGCAGCGATTATTATAGGATTATTATCCATCACGAGGTGTGTTTTGGGTGATGAGTGGACGGAGCATGAGACCCTGTTTGTCATGCTGATGGCCTCGGTTACCCGAACGGCACTGGGAGAAGGGGTTGGCTGAGCGGGAGATTTTAGGGATGTTGAGAGAGATTTTAGCGTCGCTGAATTTGTTCGGTTTGGACGTGTCCTCTGGGGCTTTTCCGTCGATTCGAGGGTGCGAGGTTTGAATAATGCATGCGGCTTCAATTTTTTTTCGACTCTGAATGCTGGCATTCAGACAATATTTGAACGAATGGATTTGTTTTATTCATAGAAAGGATGTATATCTCATTCTAATGACAAGACAGTGCCCTGAGAAGCAAATGGATAATTGGATTTTTTAAAATCAATTTTAATCAATGAGTTATTGTTGCTAATAAATTGGCAATTTTGGTATTGTCTCATATGCCAGGTTCATATTTGAGTCACACTTTAGTAATAATCTCAATTCTTCCATCGGGGCATCCTAGTGAGAAATTAATTTCTGAAAATCACTTCTTGTAACGTTACGCTTAGGGAAGAAACGTGACCGTGTGAACTTTGATCGAGATGTTGCGTGGGTTAGACACTCAAGATATTGAAAAAAAACCACAAGCCATTTACTTTAGACTATGGAGAACCTATCGCCGGCGAGAACAAGTCGGGGACTGGGCCATATAGGCGTGATATCTCCGATTGATTTGCGAATTCCTTTAAAAAAAATTTGACCGCCATTACGAGTCGAGCAACGCGACAACACCGCACAACAGCTGATCGAGGTCGGTAAAGTCGGTGACGATAATTCAGTGCTGGAAGCATATGGACACGTATAACACACACAAACATTCATCTCACTGTTACAACCCCACTACTAGCCGAAGCGTGCGATGTTGCCCGATCAAAATTCCACTGTTACCACTGCAGTCACAAGTCCTCCATTATCTATGAATATTTTCTTTTATTATTGTTTCCGAGACCGGAAAAGTACGCAGAAACCCGTCTAATTTGATGAGAAAAATAATTTGTAACGTGAATGATTTATTTAGTCAATTTTATTTTTCTTCTCAACTGAGTTGTCCACTTGATAGGTTGAACATCCTTAATACTTGACTTGTTTCGTATTTTCCCCCCAACTTTTTTTCTTCGTGCAGAAGTTCTGTTATCGGTGCGACATGAAGAATGTCTCAGCAGCTCCATAGCGATGATATATTGTCTTTTCTTTGTCAAAGATGTCAGGGATTAGTCTGAAAATGAGCCAGTCTTGCTGATCACACTGACACTCTTATCCCTTGTCACTCTCGTCCTCCCCTCGCTACAACACGCTCTCGTGTTGTGTTGCGGAAATTCTGGTGGTTCTTACCTGGATAAAATAATGGATTTTATGATGAGGTACTTGGAGCACTAACAAGATTATCCGACATTGTCTGCTGTAATTCTCCCGACTTTTTCTTCTCCAGATGAGAATTGAGCGTTAAAATTTTGCATGAAATTTTTCCGCTAACAAGCATCGTAAAATATGAAATGAAAGTGAAAAATATTGGATGCCTACACAAAGGAAAAAGTTTCTGGTTTCCAGTAAAGCGCCTCGGAAATCCAGAACCATGGTACCGGAACATGGAAAATTTATTTTGTCTGTATTTAATTAAAAATACTTTTTACATGCGCATTGTGACATTTTTTCCTCTTTGTTATATGATGAAAAATTATATAAACATTAGGAACTTTCATCAATTTTCCCTGTAGGTTATCTGAGAATCCAGAAAAGCCTATTTCAATATCTGAAACCAATTTTTCCAGTTTTTTTAATTTTCCGAAATTTTTATCAGTCGTTTTATTGATTCTCAGGTGCGTTAAATATAAAAAACTGTCCTATATTAATATAGAAGCAATTTCCCACTTGTTTTCTCAGGATTGGCTGAGAAATTTTTTTTTCTTTTTTCATTATGCAAATATTTGATAACAACAAGTAATTTCAACAAAAATTTCAATTTTCTCCCGTGCAAACATCGTGAAAAAAAATCCGAATGATTTTCTACCGAATTCTTAAAATATTTCGACCCCAGAATTTAAGATTTTTCAAATATTCAGGTGGTCCATAATTGAATGGAGTGCGAAATATATGTTCGTTATACATTTCCACATCCATTGGGACCTTTTCGATAGCAGAAAAATATCTTCATCAGTTATTATTGGCTATTTTATCAGCCTCCGGGTTTGTGGGTAATTCCGCCCAGAGTTTGTGAGTAATGTCGCCCAGGGTTTCTATAGGGCTGCTAGACTCTGCAGCTAGAGGGCGGTCGAGTGACAGCTCGATTGTTTGGGGTAGTCGGTGGCCACTGGAACTTCGGCTAAATTCAGGATAATTTATTATTATTCACGTGAAATCTTTCTCAAAATGGAGCCAAAGAATGGAAACGAAGGATGAAGATAGGAAAAATTATAACAGTTGGTCTGCATTGCTCGAAAAAGTCATCAAAACAAGGTGGGCGGTATTGGACGCATGCCGGGCGGTATTACCCTCAAAGTTCCATTCCATCGCCCACTGGCCGATGGCAATTGAATGACACAATTAAATATGTTTAATGTTAATAAAAACTCTGTCCCCTTCACATCTTCGAGTAAGCACCTCGAAGAACCCATTCTAACCGTTTATGACTCCTTGTAGAGTGCGAGGCTGGAAAAAAAGACTCATTTCCCTTAGGTGGGCGGTACATGCCGCAGCTCCCCTATTCATAAATCCCTCAGACTGTTTGAGGGCCAGGAATGTTAGCTAAAAATTCAACAGTAAATTTCGAAAAAATCCGCAATTGCTGTGAAATATCGGAAGCAGGATATCTGTATTGAATTTATTTTAAACGCTGTTCCGCGCAAAAATTCTCGCTCAAGAACAGTCAATTCACCTAATTTATTACGGGTGGATAGTGTCAAATTGGCAATTTATCCCACCGTTCGTATCTTCATTCTTCCACCCCCGATTCTCAGGGGAGAATTTATCAAAAACTAGGCCATTTATACTGCGTGCTCCCCGAGGAGTTTGATGACAGCAGTCGTTTGGGGTAGTTCACATCCTTCTACTACCCACCAGGACCGTATATTTGACCTTAAGACGTGAATAGAGAGTTTCTGGTGCCATTTATTCAAATTTTAGTTCACTTCGGTTGGCAATAAATGAGACAATTTCATTCAAAATATTTCGATAACCAGTGAGAAGTCTCACAGGAATATAAAATTTTTACTAGGAGATCCATTCTACGGAATTTCTGGTAAGCGTTGATAAATTTGGCTGAAGCTATTGGTTTTGTGATATTACTTTTTCTCTCACTGCAAAGGGACTAACACAAAAAAACAAATTCAATTTGGCACTTACGATCTTAAATTGAGACTTTCAAAAGCCAAGATTTGAAAATGTCAAGTTACACTTGTGAATGTCTCAAGTTGCGATTTGAAAGTCTCCAGTTAAGAATGTTCAGACAAAACCCACATTATTCACCATAATTTTGATATTGTCTCATATGCCAGGTTCACATTTGAGCCACACGTGAGTAATAATCTTAATCCTTCCATCGGGGCATCCTAGTGAGAAATTAATTTCTGAAAATCACTTCTTGTAACATTGCGCTTAGGGGAGAAACGTGACCGTGTGAACTTTGATCGAGATGTTGCATGGGGTAGACACTCAAGATATTGAAAAAAAAACACAAGCCATTTACTTAAGACTATGGAGAATCTATCGCCGGCGAGAAAAAGTAGGGGACCGGGCCATATAGGCGTGATATCTTCGATTGATTTGCGAATTCCTCTAAAAAAAATTTGACCGCCATTACGAGTCGAGCAACGCGACAACACCGCACAACAGCTGATCGAGGTCGGTAAAGTCGGTGACGATAATTCAGTGCTGGAAGCATATGGACACGTATAACACACACAAACATTCATCTCACTGTTACAACCCCACTACTAGCCGAAGCGTGCGATGTTGCCCGATCAAAATTCGACTGTTACCACTGCAGTCACAAGTCCTCCATTATCTATGAACATTTTCTTTAATTATTGTTTCCGAGACCGGAAAAGTACGCCATAACACCTCTAATTTGATGAGAAAAATAATCCGTAACATGAATGACTTATTTAATCAATTACATTTTTCTTATCAACTGACATCTCCTCTTGATATTTTAAACATCCTCAAGACTTTCAGAAGGCTAAAATTGTGATGTTCAGTCTCAAATTGCCGTCTCAATTTAAAATCTTTGAAATCTCAAGAAACTGTTTTTTGTCTGGATGAACAATTGCCTAAAACAATCTCTTCGATGTCTGTTCCAGCAGCTCCACCAGCCCGCCGACATGTAACTCTCCATCAGCCCGCGATTATCCAACCGGACATCCGTTGAACGACTGGGTCAAGGCCCCGCAATAATGAAAAATTCACTTCTCAATCGGGCACGAGGTGCCCCAAGCCTCCACTCGTCCCGCAATCACATCAATCCAACCGTGACTGACTGCCACCTGTGACCATCCACCAGTATTGGCTATCACCCGGTCATACCCACTTCCTCGAAGTGCACGTGAAAATCGGTAGAAGAACGACGTGGGCAAGGCGGAAGCGGAAGAGACGGAAAAAAGTTGGTGGGGGTTGATTTTTTTTTCAAGTGTCAGTGCAGAAGAAATATTGACCCATGGGGGGGGGGGTTATGTGAGATGATGCGATGGCACTGCGAGGGTGATTGGAAATTCCTGCAGAGCTGACTCGGGGTCTAGTTTCGTCTCCTTTATTTGTCTTTCATTTAATCCTCCCTTTAAGCGAGTAAAAATGTCTCCCTTCTCGTTTCACCTGTCTCACGTGGAGATAAAAGTGCGGGGGCTGGGGGTTTAAAGTGGACGGGATAAAATCACGTGAGGCTCGACGGCATTGTAAATTATTCTCGCACGAGAATTTCCGCAAGGGGAGGACACGACCTCGTTCAGTCTGTACTCCAGTTGTTTCGCTTTGTTTCCCTCTGTCACTTTTATTTATTCTTTTCATTTTTTTCCCCCCTCGTCTCGTCCCTTTGACCGACGGTCATTCTTCCCCCCGGGGGTGACGGTCATAAATCCATAGGTTGAGCGGAGAATTCTGGACTCTGCAATTTAATGAAAACGAAACAAATTGGAAAATTCCAAAAATACTGTTGTGGAGTGAGAAAATGGGGAAAATTGTGCGGAATTTGTGCGAAAAAGTCAGTAATTAATTCACGATGATTTATAATGAAACTTAATTAGATGGAATCCAACAGGCACTGGTGTTAATTAACTCGGGTAGAAGTGGGGAAATACTGTTGATGATCAGAAACAAGGAGTAGCTGATAATTCGTGCTGTGTGGTGACGAAATTGTAATCGCGATGGGGTGTGAACTGACTAAACTGGTGGCGTCGGGATCGCAGAATCCGAGCGGACGGGAGAGCCCACCGCCCCCGCCGGCTACGGATTCACGGCTACCACTTACTGCCAGGCAAAAGTACACAGTCATGGCTAGTTGGAAAGCTGTTGCGAGGGCTATGGAGCCCACTGGAGTTTATATGTTCGTCAAGTGAGTACTGAGAACCCTGAATATTGGATTTCCCAAACTTCTGATGAGCCAAAAAGCAGTCGAATCATGTTGAAACCAAATGCTGTAAAACGACCCATTTTGCCTCATCCGTTGGCCAGCAACTGTGGGGGTATTTTTTCTGCAATTCTCCCCCTTTAAATATCTCCAAAAGTATTGAAGCAAAATAGGTCGTCTTCCTCCGTATTTCAGCGAAATTTCCCTGACTTCACGATAAAACATTTTCCACTCCTCCGCATTCTATTCATTTCCAAATATTTTTCCAATCGATAGATTTCGCGACTAGTAAATGACTAGTAAAACTTCAATTTCAACTTATGCAGCTTTTGTCACAATGATGACATCGCGATTTAGCGGGAATTCTGAACTTCGCGATTTTTCGCGAAGATCGCTGGCCTTTGAAAATGCTCCGTTCAATTGTGGTTTCCACCGTCCTAATGATGTTAACGCGATCATCGCGAATTAATGCGATTAAACGATTGGCGATTAAATGATTCGCGATTCAACACGAAGTGTGAACTTTGCGATTTACCGCGAAGTGTGATCTTCGCGATTTAACCCGAAGTGTGAACGTTGCGATTTAATACGAAGTGTGAACTTCGCGACTTGACGCGAAATGCGAACTTCGCGATTTTTCGCGGGGATCCCTGGCATTTGAAAATTTTCCGTTCAATTCTGGTTTCCACCGTTCCAAAGATGTTGACGCGCTCATCGCGAATTGACGCGGTTAAACGATTCGCGATTAAATGATTCGCGATTGAACGCGAAGTGAAGCAAACTACATCCTCCTCCTCCCTTTGTCCGCGAAAATTTTCCTGACTTCAAAATAAACCATTTTCTATCTCTCTGCATTCAATTCAAGTACTCCCTGACAATGGAAAAACAATTGTTACGAGTTTCTCGTTCGCCCAATTCGATTTCAAATATTTTTCCAATCGATGGAAAAAGAAAAATGTAAAAAGCCTCTTTTCGCGATTGAAGTGGTGCATGTAGTCTATTACCTTGGACACTATCGAAAAAAAAAATATGGGGGCCATCCCTTTGAGCCGAATTGGAGCTTACTCTCCCCCCCCCCCTCTTCCAGCCACCGCCAATTCAAGAGGCAAATAGAGGAGAAAAGAATGGAGGCAACTCAATACTCTTTTAAACTACCGTATCGAATTCTCGTTTTCCGATGGGTCTCAAGTACTGCACCTTATCTCCTTTTCAATGCGATAATCTCGGCTATGTTAGACATTGACGTCCACCAGAGCCTTATAGAGTTAGGATTTCCATCGTATTTTTTCTTGTTACGTACCTCCTATTTCACTTCTCTTTCATTACAGACGTTACATCCCACTCGGTTTACCCAACTGTCACAATCACATTCACTGAGTCTAGCATTTTCGCTTTACGGGGATAATATGATATTTCCTCACGTTCTGACGCAATATTTTTTCTGCACTTCTCTTTACCGTGCGATTTTTCATTCTGCCTCATGCCTCAGATGTGGGATTTCTTATTGACGTTGGTCTTTTTTTGTCGTTGGGAGTCGTGATTGAAATTCAGTGATAACGGAAGATGAGAGAGAGAGAAAGGGACACATATGGGAGAGAAGTGTCAAGATTTCTATTGCTACAGTAGAAAAAGTAGTGTCTGAAATTAAGCTATTTATTGCGGGGTGGGCAAGTAGGAGGTGAGACGGAGGGGAATCTATTGTTTTCTCACAGAAAACCAATAGCTCAACAGAAAAACCGGTATTTCAATTACAAATTTTCAATCCATTTCGACCATTTTTGTGTTCGAAATATTTTTTTAATAACTCTTCCATTTTTTCCCTCGTATTTCAAGTCTTCTTTTATTATTCTAGTTTGTCTTTTGGATAATTGGAAAATAATTAATATGGATAGAAAAAGTGACAATGTCGTGCCGTTCGAGGTACAAATTGGCAGCACTGATTCACCCAGCTGTTATGTTCCTTCCCATAGCGAAATGTATCATCACAACTCCATTCGTATTTGCCGCGCTTACCCCTCCACGATTCCTAACCTCGACGTTGCCACTATTCCAAATTGCGCACGCAGAATTCCTATTTTTACATGAGTTTTTTAATTATCACTTCTAAACAATTTTCCTAGGCCACTTGGATAATTTTTTCTTACGTTCCTCCATGACAGCTTCACCCAAGTGCGAAATTTCCGGACAATGGCGACATTTTTTCTATTTTTAATATTTTCTTTTCCGAATTACCATGAGAGCCCGTTAAAATAAGTTCCACCCGAGTGCAAAATTTCAATGGGATTTCAATGGCATTAGGCTGGTGATCGCGATTTAAACGATTTGTTTGGTCCACAATGAATGCTGTTTACCTTTCCGTATAGTCAGTAAAAAATCCAGAGTGAATTTCGACTGTGAGTCCACACCAAACCGAGTGAAAATTCAGTAGTGAAGCGGTAAACCGAGTTAAGTCGATTTTGACTATTAGCCAGTTTTTGCTGAATATCTCGGAATCTAAGAGAGATAGCAAAATTTTTCTCATGACTTTTTTTATAACGCTCTATTGGCTCTACAAAAAAGGTCGTGACAAAAATCTTTCTATCTCTTTTAGATTCCAAGATATTCGTCAAAAACTAGCCAATAGTAAAAATCGACTTAACCCGGTTTACCGCTTCGCTACTGAATTATTCCGTGTAAATTTACGGAGTTAATTCATTCCGGAGTGAAATACAGCGAGTGGAGTGAAAATTGACACTGCCATGGTGTCAAAATCAACATATTAATCAACACAGCTCGATGGGAAAAATGAAAATTGCCTCCGTACCGAAATTTGACTCCGGGCGAGATAGTTAATTTTAACACCGGAATATTTAACCCCTCACACCAGAGACACTAACACCGAATTTTTTTACTTTCTAGTTCAAATTTCACCGCGGTCTCCCCTCAAATCGAATTCAAAGTCCGCTTTCGGAAAATTCAACCAAATTTGTGTTGATGAAATTTGAGCGATGGATGCACTCATCTCTGTCGTTAGCTGGCAATACAAAAAATTTCAGTTCCAGGACATGCGAGTCCAGATCGCCATCGACGTCTGGCGAAAATGAGTCATCGAACCAAAGCTCTTCTCATAATTATGATAGTCATCCAATTAATAAGCACACTCACCGCTGCTTAGCTTTCCACAACTCTCCACACCCACCTCTGTCAACACGTTACCCCCGAGGGACACCAGCCGTATCAATTACTTCCCCGTTGGCTCGAACTCTCCAGACAGAAAAAAAAATTGAGTTCTCAAGGGAACGCTCCGAAATGCCAGGGCCCCGCGGCTCTGAAGTTGAATAAATGGGAAATTTTGTAAACGAGTGTTTTAGTCCCTAATTTTCAATATTATGATCCTCGAAATCAGACAAAATTTCTTAATTTTCAAAACACCTGCACGAAGGGTGCCTGACCCTTATATTACACTTAAGAGGGCTCGCTACAACCCGACCTGATACACAACAATCATCTTCGAATTGAACTACCCATCCCCCAATTGAGGATAAAATATACTTGAATCATTGTTTTTCCGTGTTGAATTCATGGAAATATCTAGACCTCAATCCATTCTTATCCCTAAAAAATTCTCCAGCCGAGTTATCGCAATCTAGAAAACGGCCAATTAACCCGCATATCTTTTTCGATTCATCCGGCCCGTCCATGACAGAGGATTAACGACCCTTATCATCCGTATCTCTTGAGCCTCGCCCCTTGAGCGCATAAAAACCATGTGTGTCCTCTGCCCCTACCACTCCTTCAATAAATCCATTTGATAAAGACTCAATCGTTTCTGTGGATTCCTCACACGTGAATTCACGTCATTCAGAGGAAAGTGAATAGAATGAATAAGGGAGTGGATGGAGGACTCAGAGGGGGTGCACTCAAGCTAATGGTACTATCTTTTCTCCTGGAAAGACGTCCACTCTGGTATTACTCATCTGACTGACAGCGGATGACCGACAAATGTAAATAGAAATGTCTATATTCGATATCCAATTTTGTTGAATTTTCAATTCATCTAAATCCAAGAAAATATTCATCTGAAGTGTTCTTTTCATTAAGGATGTTTGGCTATAATTTTAATATTGTCTCATATGCCAGGTTCACATTTGAGCCACACGTGAGTAATAATCTTAATCCTTCCATCGGGGCATCCTAGTGAGAAATTAATGTCTGAAAATCAATTCTTGTAACATTACGCTCAGGAAAGAAACGTGACCGTGTGAACTTTGATCGAGATGTTGCATGGGTTAGACACTCAAGATATTGAAAAAAACCACAAGCCAATTACTTTAGGCTATGGAGAATCTATCGCCGGCGAGAACAAGTAGGGGAACGGGCCATGTAGGCGTGATATCTTCGATTGATTTCCGAATTCCTCTAAAAAAATTTGACCGCCATTTCGAGTAGAGCAACGCGACAACACCGCACGACAGCTGATCGAGGTCGGTAAAGTCGGTGACGATAATTCAGTGCTGGAAGCAGATGGACACGATAACACACACAGACATTCATCTCACTGTTACAACCCCACTACTAGCCGAAGCGTGCGATGTTGCCCGGTCAAAATTCGACTGTTACCACTGCAGTCACAAGTCCTCCATTATCTATGAACATTTTCTTTAATTATTGTTTTCGAGACCGGAAAAGTACGCCATAACACCTCTAATTTTATGAGGAAAATAATTTGTAACGTGAATGATTTAATTAGTCAATTTTATTTTTCTTTTCAACTGAGTTGTCCATTTGATAGGTTAAACATCCTTAAATTGTGAATTTTCAAAAAGTGTAACGGAAATTTGAACCAATGAATTCCATGAAGCATCGAATTGAATTTAAAATAGGGGAGGTTGGGGTGAAACGGACACTTTTGACTTTTTCTAAAATGTTAATGAGGGGTTGAAATGTTGATAAAATTTAATATTATTTTTCTCAATACAAAGGACAGTTATTTCCCTTCGTGCCGA